GCTGTTTCTATTCTATTCTATTCTATTCTATTCTATTCTATTCTATTCTATTCTATTCTATTCTATTCTATTCTATTCTATTCTATTCTAAAATGAACACAGCAGGACACAAAATGCTAAAGATGCTACACAAACACACACACGTCACATGAGCTCTGTATGTGTGAGGGGATGGTTGGTTTTGATTCTGTTAGCAAACTTAAAGTTAGCAGAACTAAATGAAGTGGAAGCTAATTGGTCCGCTAAAGGAAAAGTTAGCTTTGCTATGAGCTGTTAGCATAGTGGAGCCGTGCCCACCACTGAGTACTCTCAACAAATATTTTAGACATTTTCTTTAATTTGATTTTGAAATTTAAAGTTTCTCTTGGCTGCTGCGACACAGATAGTGCTAATGCCTGGGCAAAATGTAGCACATTTTGGCTCACAATCTAGCTGTCTGTCAGCCTTGTTTGCTAAATGAATTTTRCAACTTTCAGCACAGATTCTTAACTAAACCCTTCATGACAAATGAGTTCACTCATCCTCTACTTTAAGTTAAAAAGTAACAAACTCGTAAACTTACAGGAGGTAAAAAGCTCTTATTTATAAAAACAAGACAATGTTGGATTTACAAAAAATAAATACTTACTGCAGGTCCACTGGGTCCCCTTTCACCTTTGTCACACACACACTTYCTCTGGGCCAGAGGACACTTTAAACAGAGAAAAATAAGTCAGTGACGTTAAACCGATGGTACAGAAAAGACCAGAATTCTAGACACTTACCCCTTCATTTGCCAGCGCTGTCTGTAGGGCAGAAAACACAAAACAATGTCAAGATGGTTCTGCATCTAATACAGATGGTCAATCTTAGTTTAAAATGATTCAGTCAAGAGTTAAAACAAGTACATTCCACCAAAAACCCTTTTAGTTGAACCCTGAACACCYATCAGTTTTGGCTGCTGGTAGCTGTAACGTTGGTTGACGGCATCACGCTCAGCTGGTCTGGCTTTAATGACTGGACTTAAGTTCATTCTTCATTAAGTCAGATTGTTGAGCCAATCATCTGTTTGTGGTTTTGTCCTTGGACAGGACACTTCTAAGATGTAACTAACCATCTGGCACACCGGGTTAACATCTTGTACTTCCTCTTGTAAGACYCCCTKATTTTCATCRCTTTRCTTTCTTTCCAAGCTTTTCTTTCRGCACGAGAGAAATGTTGATTTGTATCATAGCTCTACTGAGCAGCCAGGGGGGGATTTCTGTAGTTTGTACCAGTGTTACAAAAAAAAGCAACSGTTCCCCTGGTATGATCTAAAGCTGAATGTTGAGGATAAAAGATGGTCTCTCTGCACATGTTTACGACATACAGATGTCYGAATTATAGCTGCTGTTGCGTTCAGCCCAGCAGAACGCAGTCCATCGGATCCAGTGCTTTCTTTAAAAACTTTMCATTCATCGTATTTGGATGCATACCACCTGTGTCAACACTTCTGGGTTTGAAGCGGCGTTTTGAACGGCTTGTTGCGTGCTTGTTCGTGCTGGATCAAGGAGCTCGATTCACCCCATTTTCCCCCACAAAGAGATTTAACAGGGAGCACATGTGCCGACCAGGAGTCCGGATGACGACTCTGGGATGTTGCTACGCTGCACATACTTTTAATAAAACCACCAGCAGCTTATAAAACTTACCACAATCATCAAAGTCAACATGAAGGATTGAAAGTAAGAACTAACGATTCTAATAATGTTCAGACAAAATTTGACGAAAGAATCTTTTTTGCACCTTTTTTATAGCAGCAGGTGTACATTAGAGATGCAATAAGAAGCTGCACACAGAGCCTATTATTGATACTAACATTCAGAAGATATCTGTCRAGATAATGACTTTCAGATGCTTCCAGCTTCCACAAATTTATGCCCTCCAGTACAAAAAAAAAGGTAACATAACACATACAAGCAGTTTGAAAAGTGATGCAGCCGCTAATGAAAGCTTGTTGGTTTGGGGGTGTTTATGTGCAGGTATGAGCATGCACATTTAAAATATCTTCTTGATATAACAGGAGTTTGCCAGCTGTTTTTGAAAATGGGTTTCATGCTTTTTTTTATCTGAACGTTTGTCAGTTCAACGAAGCCACAAAATAACAGACGGTTTAGCTAAAYATCCACAATTGAACGTTCACAGCTAAAATGTTGTGTAAATATTACAAAAGTAGGAAAGAGTTGGTGTTTATGCAAACTCGTTGATGTGYAAAAGCAATTAAGAATAATGAATCTATAAACTATAATGGACTTATAAACCTTGAAATTGTAGATCACAGTCTTATCTTGGCACAAGTCGAGCTCGTTCTCAGCGCAGGTTGAATTCGGGCCAAGACCTTCAGCGTGTACTGAGGCAGTACACAGCCGAGRYTGAAGCGGCTGGGATGGGAGTCAGTTCCTTTAAGTCTGAGACCATGGTTCTTGACCAGAAAAGGGTGGAATGCCCCCTCTGTGCAGTTTTATTTTAATAAAAGCTAAAGAGATCAGCATCAGGCAGAGCCATCAGCTCTATTCCAACTTCAATTTCTTGGTCCTATAGACTCCATTTCAGTAACTTCATCAAAACTGTTTATTTCTCCATAACTGACAGCAGTTTTTCTCTGTGTATTTGGCCTAAACTACATTTTTATCAAGCAAAGACATTGATGAGACCATCACACTGATCTAGAGACTGATGTTTTGTCCAGACTGAGAGTCACTGAAACTGAGTTTGTGTCCAGGCATGACTCAAAGTGTCAGTCAGGGAAATGAGAAGTGTTTGGTGGACAGCTGGGTCCAAACTGGAACCTTTTTTTATGCACCAGGATGGCCCACATTGAAAAGACGAGCCGTTGTCAGATGGGGCACTGAGATAAGTTACCTGGTCAACATGAATGTGTTCCCTGAGCTGAACCAGACCCTGGCAGAGCCAGTCTGAGGACATCAATAAACCATTCAATCAGCAGTAATGTAAGGTCCTTCTAACAGTTTCTACAGCTTATTGTCCAACYAATATTTAAAAGATTTTTAATGGAAAATGTTATTGTTCTTATAGGAATCACCAAATGTCACAAACCAGCAAATAAAGGTTTCAGTACAAGATGAGAAGTTAGCATAAACTACATGATTCTGGAGTTTGCTGATCCTGAGATTGGGGTGGGTGACCATGTAAAGGTTCAATCAAACGATTCACAGAAGCCAAACATGGACCAAGATCGAGGGTGGGCTTACTGCTCTGATCAGCTCCCATTTGAATGTGGTTTGGCTGCTTTTTGAATACCTGACCAATTTCAGAGGAAATTTGTTTTGTTTTGTTTGAACATTTCTTTGGATTTACACAAACAAACAAACAYATAAACAAACAAAAGAACTAAAGGAGACAAACTTTGGCAACAAACTAGTTTTGAGTCTTCATGTAAACATCACCAAAAAAAAAAAAATCCAAACAAAACAGTTTTGTCTATAGGCTAAATCTTGTGCCAGCAGGAACTGAATTTGAATTGCTCACATTGAATCTGAATATGCATAATTTGAAATTGAATGCATTGGTTTGAAAATGAATTTTACTGAATTGAAAATGAATGTATTGGTTTGAAACTGAATTTAAAGTTTTTTATCTGAATTAATTAGCCTTGAAACTGTGTTTTTGGTCTTTTAAAAATTCAGTTTGACTACTTTCACTTTCAGTTCCAAAATTCAGATTTTTGTGACACACATCCTGGTCCTTGAGAAAGTCAGTCAGAGTAATCAAACACAGATCCAAAGATTTGTGTTTCTCTTTGGTGAAGTTTTCCTTCTGTATGTAACAGAGTTGATGCAATCCACCGTAAAAGTGACAAAAACAGACAAAGTTATTTTATTGCAGTGATTAATTTTACCTACATGTAGAAAATGTTACATTTACATCACATCATGGATCAGTCAGAAGCAGCATCTGATCAATATGTGCAATGTGTATCAATATGTATCAATATGTATCAATCTGAGCAATTAAAATTCAATTCCTGCTGGCACAAGATTTATCCCATACACATGACCTGCTAACAGTTCAAAACTCTGCCTCTCTGATGGTATGGGGGTGCATTAGTGCCTATTGCATGAGCAGCTCACACATCTGGAAAAACTCCACAAATACAGAAAAAAACTATCTAGGTTTTAAATTGTTATGTGCCTGCCTGAAAAATAACAGTCCAGTGAAGAAGAGCCAGTACTGTAGAACAGAATGAGACAATATTCCCTTCAAAACCTCCAGAGCTGGGGCCTCATGATTCAACGGTGCGTACGCACAAAAACCTTGCGTACGTCATTAT